ATCATCCATGTGCCTATCCAAAAGTTGCTTAAATGTCCCTAATGTATCTGACTCCACTACCACTGCCGGCAGCGCATTCCACGCACCCACCACTCTCTATGTAAAGAACCTGTAAATTGGCTGACATCTCCCTTATACCTTCCGCCAATCACCTTAAAATTATGCCCCTTCGTAAGATGTTAGAAGTTTATTTTTTTCATCTCCATGTGGCTCCTGCAGTTCATCTATTGCGAATATTCGATGAGTGGCTGTGAAATTGGCAAAGGGAATAGAGTTGGTATGGAGGCAGAAATATGGGTATGAAGTAGTAGCATTGCAGTATGAAGAGAAGCAGGCATGAAGGGTGGCATGGGGAGTGGGTGAGTGCCCAAGAAATGTCAGTGGTTCTCAGGAAAAAAAATTGACCACCATCTCAGGCCGTCATTTATTGCCCAAGGTGATGGTGTGCCACCATCTTGAACCACTGCAGTCCATGTGGTGGCAGATGTACCCACAATGCTGCTAGAGGCTGAGTTCTAGGATTTTGACCCAGCGACACTGATGGAACAGTAATATATTTCCAAGTCAGGATGGTGAGTGGCTTGGAGGGATCTCACAGGGCTGGTGTTCTTATGTGTCTGTTGCCCTTATCCCTCTGGGTGGTAGAGGGCACAGGTTTGGAAGATGCTGCCCAAAGTAATCCTGGTGAGTTGTTGCAGTGCAAATTTTAGATAATACGTACTGCTGTCACTGTGTGTCAGAGGGTCATAGAGCCATAGAGTCATGCAGCATGGAAGCAGACCCTTCAGTCCAAATAGTCCATGCTAACCATGTTCCCAAACTAAAATAGTCCCACGTGCCTGTTTTTGGTCCATATCCCTCCAAACTATTCCTATTAATGTACTTATTCAAATGTCTTTTAAACATTGTAACTTTGTCAGTGGTAAAGGCAGTGAATGTTCAAAATACTGGATGGGATGCCCAATCTAGTGGGCTACTTTGACTTGAATCATGTCGAAATTCTAATGCGTTGTTGGAGCTGCACCCATTCAGGCAAATGAGGAGTATTCCATCACACACCTGACTGACACCTTGTAAATGGTGGACATGCTTTGTGAGACAGGAGGTGAGTTACTCACCACAGGATTCCCAGCTTCTGATCTGCTCTTGTAGCTGCATGATTTATTCAGTTTCGGTTTCTGGTCAATTAAATAATGTACTTGTATTGCCCTATACAGTGAAGGTCCACTAGATTGGTTCCTGGGATCAGGGAGAGTTGTCCCATATTGGGAGGCTGAATAAAAGGATTTGATAGTGTCTGGAGTTCAAAAGAGTGAGAGGTGTTCTGATCTATTTTTCCTTTATTCATTCACAGGACGAGGGGTCACTGGCTAAGCAGCTTTATTGCCCATCCTTAATTGCCCAGAGGGCAGTTAAGAGTCAACCACATTGCTGTGGGTCTGGAATCACATGTAGGCCAGAACCAGGTAAGGATGGCAGTTTCCTTCCCTAAAGGACACTAATGAACCAGATGGGTTTTTCCCAACAACCAACAATGGATTTATGATCATCATTAGACTCTTAATTCCAGATATTTATTGAATTCAAATTCCACCATCTGTAATGGCAGGATTCGAACCTGGGTCTCCAGAACATTACCTGGGTCTCTGGATTAACACATATAAAAACAGAAGTTGCTGGAAAAGCTCAGCAGATCTGGCAGCATCTGTGAAGAAAAATCATAGTTAACGTTTCGGGTCCGGTGACCCTTCCTCAGAACCTCAATTCTTTCGGTTTTCTCTGGATTAACAATCCAGTGATAATACCACTAGGCCATCACCTCCCCTGATTGAAATATACAAGATTCCGACAGGGGTGACAGAGGCTGTGCAAAATAGAACACAGGGATGCAATCTGAGGATAATGGGTTGATCGTTCAAAACAGAGATGAGGAGAAATTTCTTTACTTAGACGATTATAAATTATTGGAATTGTCTACACCAGAGGATTGTAGAAGCTCCATCTTTGAAAATGTGTACGTCTGAGATGGACAGGTGTCTAAGGGGATCTTGGGATATGGGGAGCAAATGGGAAGACATAGTTGAGGCAGAAGATCAGTCATGATCACATTGATTGGGGGATCACATTGATTGGATTCAATGGGACGAATGGTCTACATCTGCTCCAATATCTTATGTTCCTGTATAGACCAGACCATTCCTCACACTAAAGCAACTTCAAAGCTCATTCCTTCCGAACTGCACATTTTGTCACTGAAACAAATCATTTATTTACCTTTAGGATGATAAAGAACGTTAACATTTCCAGAGATGAAAGTCTCATGTGGGTCCATTGAAGCCAGTTGGCATTGTAGGTCGGGGCAGGAGGCTGCCTGGTATTGTTCTCCAGCATCTGCTCATCAGAGCCCCAGGTACGGTTGTCAAAGAATGTTTCCAAATGTTCCTTCATGGAGAGCTGTGAGCAAAGGACTTGTACTTAAAATAGAGAGGTTATGTCAGCTTTGATCACTGAATGTGCATCTATCCATACTAAGGTAAAGATCAGCTGGTGGGTATCCTTCCAATCATTTTTAATTCTGACATGCCCCTCCAAAATGGAAAGTACCTCTGTAAACTTGCCAGATTGTCATCACATCTCACCAACCCACCCACTGGAGGCGCTGTTGCACCACTACTGACCAGAGAGTGTAAACACAGCATCATAGGATGGCATGGTGGCTCAGTGGTTGGCATTGCTGCCTCACAGCACCAGGGACCTGCACATTCTCCCTGTGTCTGCGTGGGTTTCCTCTGGGTGCTGTGTTTTCCTCCCACAGTCCAAAGATGTGCAGGTTATTTGGATTCGTTATGTTGAATTACCCATAGTGTCCAGGGATGTGCAGGCTAGGTGGGTTAGTCATGGGAAATGCAGGGTTACAGGGATAGGGGTGGGATGCTCTTTGGAGTGTCAGTGTAGACTCGATGGGACGAATGGCCTGCTTCCACACTGCAGTGATTCTATGATAAGCTTTCCCATCGTAAAGGGAGACGTAGAAATTTGTAATGGGAATACAGGAATCCTGATAATGGAATAAGAAACAAATTATGCATGCTCGCCCTTGTCCAATTACGCGCCACCCTTTCAGTCCTCTTCACCAGGAGTCTGGGATGCTTTCCCAGTCTGTCTCCCACTCCACTGAAATTTCACAAGAAGGCAATTCCAGCAAATTGATGAGAACAGTGGCAAGGAAACTTCAACCTGTAATTCCCCACATACAGTGTTACAGCAGTTCTACAAATCTGTTGTTAAAGGTTTGATTAAAATAATCACTTTGCAGTCTCAAAAGTGCATGTGATTGAAAAGCTAAATAAATTTAACAAAGGAAGAAACTGTGTGATTCCCTGTTTTTTGTATATATCTTGGAGTTACACTGCGATAACACCAGTTTCTATGTGTGGTTGCATTCATATGGTTTTAAGGCCATTTAGGCTCCTCTTTTGGCACTTGTGTCCCCAGGAATTGTTAGCGGATGGCTCTAATCCTGGATGCTGTACCGGGTTTCTGACACCAGCTAATCTGCTTCTCCCCACCTCAAGTTCTAAAACGCCATCAACTAATAAAACCATCCAGAAAAATATTGAGAACAGCACACAATTTATTTTAATAAACTGCTCCTGCGACTCTTGCCCAGGCTTGCTCAAGCAGGTTAGGGTTTAATTTCTGATTATGGCAGAGCAATCAGAGATGGTGTATGATCCTGTGTGTGACTGGCATCAATGAGGTGTGAGGATCGACAGAAAATTGGTCTTGGGGCAGATTCGGATGTAAACTTGCACCAAGTCATTATAGCACCTGGTTTCGGACTTAGCTAATGCTTTCAAATGTCACTGAATTTTCACACTAAAATCTAACAGCATCAAATATAACAGTTGGAAAGTTAAGTTACTGCTGTACAAAACTTTACTTAGGCCACATTTGGAATATTGCATGCAGTTCTGGTCGCCACGCTACCAGAAGGACATGGATGCTTTGGAGAGGGTGCAGAGAAGGATTCCCAGGATGTTGCCTGGGTCTGGAGGGTTTTAGTTGTGAGGAGAGGTTGGATAAACGCAGATTGTTTTCGCTGGAAGGACAGATGCTGAGGGGCTGAGGTCTACAAAATTACGAGGGGCCTAGATGGGGTGGATAGTCAGAGGCTTTTTCCCAGGGTGGAAAGGTCAACTACAAGAGGGCACAGATTCAAGGTGAGAGGGGGAAAGTTTGGGGGAGAAGTGTGGGGATAATTTTTCACACAGAGGGTGGTGGGTGTGTGGAACACACTGCCAGTGGAAACTGCCACACTAGCCACGTTTAAGGCCTTTCTTCATAGATACATGAAGGAGAGGCAAACAGAGGAATAGAAACTGAGCATGGGCAATAAGCAGTAGGTCTACTGTATTATATTGGAGAAGTGTTCACTGCTTACCCTTGAACCAATGTACTGGCCCACTCCATGGGGAAAGGTTACACTTGCCAATACAAGAGCCACAAGTCCAGCGAATAGAATCTTACTGCAGAAACAAAAATACTGTCTTCTTTTGCAATTTAAGACATAAACTGAATGCAACAAAGATTCACCAAACTAATTCCCGGGATGGCAGGATTGTCCTCCAAGGAGCAGTTGAGGAGGTTCAGCCTCTGTAGTTTGGAAGAATGAGAGGTGATTGCAATCAAACTTACAAAATTCTTAGGGGTTTAACATGATAGATGTTTCTTCCTGGTTGGTGGGGGTCTAGAACCAGGGCTGCAGTCTCAGAACCAGGAGCAGGCAATTTTGGAGTGAGATGAAGAGGAATGTTTTTCCTAGACTGGAAAGGCTGGGACTTCTTTCACTGGAGTGTAGGAGCTTGTGAGGTGACTTTATAGAGGTTTATAAAATCATGAGGTACATGGAAAGACAAGGATCTTTTGGGGATGTTCAAACCAAGGAGGTATTTTTTAAGGTGAGAGGAGAAAGATTTAAAAAGTGCATGAGAGACAACGTTTTACAGAGAGAGTGGTTCATGTGTGGTACGAACTGCCAGAAGAAACGGTGGATGTGGGTACAGTTACAACATTTAAAAGACATTTGGATAAGTTCATAAATAGGAAAGGTTTGGAAGGATATGGGCTAAGCACAGACAGGTGGGACTATTTTAGTTTGGAAACATGGTCAGCATGGACTGGTTGGACCGAAGGGTCTGTTTCCATGTTGTATGACCCTATGAATCAGACAGTGGTGAATCTTTGGAATTCTTTACTCCAGAGAGATGTGAATGGTTCAGTTATTGAGAAGTTCAAGACTGAGATCGATAGATATTTATATATTAAAAGACCATAAGATATAGGAGCTGAATTAAGCGATTCAGCCCATCGAGTCTGCTTCGCCATTCGATCATGGCTGATATGTTTCTCAACCCCACTCTCCTGCCTTCTCTCCATAACTCTTGATTCCCTTAGCAATCAAGAACTTATCAAACCTGAAAGCATCAAGGGATACGGGATAAAACAGTGTTAAAGTAGAAAATCTGACATAATCTCATTGAATGGCAGAGTTGGCTTGTTGGAGTTGAATAGCCTTCTCTTCCTACGATTTCTCATGTTTTAATTCAGCCCTCCAAGCCCGCTCCACCATTCAATAAGATCGGGTCTGATCTTTTACCTCATCTCCGCCTTCTCAGCTATTCTCCACATCCTTTGATTACCTTGGCGTCCAACATCTATCGATTTCACCCTTGAATCAACAAGCTCTCTGAGGTCGGGAAGCCCAAAAATTTGCAATCCTCCAACTCCAAGGATGTGGGTGCAGTTGACAGGGTGCAGGGTAGATTTATCGGGGGATTCAGGAATTTTAACTACAGGTTGGAAAAGGCACAGTCGTTTGCTTGGGGCGAAGGAGCAATTCAATTGAAGATTATGATGGGTTTAGATCAGGTGGGAAAGGAAAGGTTTTCCCATTGGTTGATAGTAGAAGGACTCGGGTGGGCCTGGATTTAAGCTTTCACATAACAGATACACATGCTTTTATGTAGAAAGTGGGAATGAGCTGGAATTCGCTAGCCATAAGGGGTGTGGAAGTGGAGATATTGAATGATTTCAAAAGAAACTGGATGGCCATTTGAGGAGATAAACGAACAGGGCTAGAGGGATGGTGCTAATGACTGGTCTAGTTCTACAGAGAGCCAAGTGTGAAATCAACAAAGGGTCTTGACATTCCTTTGGGTTACCTACTTGTTGGCCATGAACCTGGAGATCTTTTTGTGGTTGGTCATAAATATGGTGAGGTTCCGGTGGCAAAACAGGTAGACACAGCACAGGCATCCACAGATGACCCTATAGGAAAGGTTCAGGGTAGGAGGTGATTCACAGCATGGACATTTCAGCTTTGTTTTATCTGCAGCAATTTTCTCACCAAAATTCCACCCCTGCACCCCATGGTAAAAAAAAAATGACAACTCCATATGCAGAGTTAATATCTCATTTTACGCTTCACTCCTAGCCTTAGTGTCAGTTAACTGTTCAACTACAAGGGCATCAAAGTTGAGCCTGATCCAGTCGTGAATTCCACTCCGCTTTAGATATTCCTTGGGTGGAGCCCCATTCCCGGGATTTTGAGGCCCCCACACCAGTGCCAGGCAGTGATGCTAGACCCCCATCAGTCCTATCAGGTGGGGTGAGTGGCTGAAGAACCCATAGCATTATTCAGGGAAGAGGAAGGAGATGCCCCTGGTTTTTGGGCTGGTGGTCATCCCTTCAACCAACAGCAAACACACAGGCAATGTAGTCGTTCACAGCGTGTAGAGTTTTGCTGTGCACAAATTGGCTGCCGTGTCTGCTTAGGTTACCCATCCAAAGTAATTCTTTCACTGTAAAGTGCTTTGGAAGTATGCTGAGCTTGTGAAAGCTGAGGTGCAAATGCAGACTCTTTCCTTACAGATTTTCCCATTTGCACAATGGGAAGGTGATGACCGAGTGGTATTATCACGGGACTATTAATCCAGAGACACAAATAGTGTTCTGGGGACCCGGGTTTGAATCCCACCACGGCAGGTGGTGGAATATCGAATTCAACGAAGAATCTGTATTTAAGAATCTAATGATGACCATGAAACCGTTGTCGATTGTCAGAAAAACACACCTCATTCACTAATGTCCTTTAGGGAAGGAAGCTGTCATCCTTACCTGGTCTGGAGTAAATGTGGGGTGGCACGGTGGCTCAGTGGTTGACACTGCTGCCTCACAGCACCAGGGACCTGGGTTAAATTCTACTCTCGGACGACTGTCTGTGTGGAGTTTGCACGTTCTCCCTGTGTCTGCTCCAGTTTCCTCCCGGTGCTCCGGTTTCCTCCCACAGTCCAAAGATGTGCAGGTTAGGTGGCTTGGCCATGCTAACTTGCCCCATAATGTCTAGGGATGTGCAGGCTAGGTGAATTAGCCATGGGAAATGCAGGGTTACAGGGATATGATGGGTCTGGGTGGGATGCTCTTCAGAGGATCGGTGTGAATCTAATGGGCCGAATGGCCTGCTACCACACTGTAGGGATTCTATGAGATCCCGGCAATGTGGTTGACTCTTAATTGCACTCTGGGATAGGCAATAAATAGTGGCCTAGCCAGCAGCACCCTCATCCCATGAAAGAATAAAAAAAACTTTCCCAAATCTGCACAGGAAGACGGAATATCTGTTTCTTTGGCTCATATTTGCCAGAACAGATTGTTAGCCTGAGGCTAAAACCTGAGAACAGAAGATTGTCCCACTCTTTCTGCCCGCCATACGTGTCTCGGAAAGATTAATGGGTCGATAATTGAGCTGTTTGACCATATTATGAATACACCTTCCTTGGCCATCAAGCCCTAGAGTGGGACTTGAATCTGCAGCCTCTGGCTCATAGGCAGGAACGATCCCCCAATGCCACAAGACCGCCCCCTTTCTCAGTGAAGAGTAAAACTTTTTCAAACTTACCCAAGAATGGCAAAGGAAAGGAACTCTGGCAGGTCAAAGGGGAACTCCACCTTCCAGTTGGTAGTGAAAAGCACGGCCACTGTTTCTGAGGGAACAGGAAGGTCGTTGGCTGAATTCCACTTAAAGTGTCTCACCAGTGTGTTTTTATAAGGAAAATTCAGGACAAGCACTGGGCAAGTTACAAGTAATTCAGCTTCAAAGGTGACACTATTAAGCGTCCATCGCAGCCTTCACTACCGAGGCAGACAAGAGCAGCAAGCATCTGGGAAACCCCAATCCCAGCCCAAAGTCCCCTCAAAATCATACACACTATCCTGACGTGGAAATATATCACCGTTCTTTCATCTACATGCGGTAAAAATCCCACATCTGTCTCCCTCAGCAAAATGGCTGACTCTAAAATGATCCAGCAAGCCACTCAGTTCAAAGGCAACTAGAGATGGGCAACAAATGCTGTCCTTGTCAGACATGTGCACACATCCCATGGAAGAATGGATTAGAATAAAACTGTATGTGTGCACCTAAACCTCAAGGGCTCTGAGATTCAAGAAAACTGCCCACCACCATCTTCTCAAGGCCCTGTCCCCATGAATAAGGGGAATTAAAGTCAGATTTAAAGATCTGCCCCCATTACTTGGGTGGTACAGCGGCTCAGTGGTTAGCACTGCTGCCTCACAGCACCAGGGACCTGGGTTCAATTCCACCCTCAGGTGACTGCCTGTGTGGAGTTTGCATGTTCTCCCCGTGTCTGCATGGATTTCCTCCGGGTGTTCCAGTTTCCTCCCACAGTCCAAAGATATGTAGGTTAGGTAGTTTGGCCATGCTAAATTGCCCTGTAGTGTCCAGTGATCTGCAGGCTAGTTGGATTGGCCAATGGTAAATGCAGGATTATGGGGATGGGTGGGTTTGGATGGGATGTTCTTTAGAGCATTTGTATGGACTAGATGATCCAAATGGCCTACTTCCACTATGTTTCCAACTGGGTCAGCAGGTTCCAAATGGCAATTAAATACTGAATTCTTGTAAAACAGCCAAGTGTTTTCAATTTTACATGGAGGTGGCAGTCTAGTGGGAATGCCCAGTGGACTAGGAATCTCGAGGCTCAGGCTAATGTTCTGGAGACATGGGTTTAAACGTCCCACTATTATCTGGAATATAAAATCCATCTCAGTAATGGTAACCATGAAACTATCATTGATGTTTGCAAAAACCCATCTAATGTTCTTCAGGGAAGGACATTTGCTGTTCTTACCAAATCCTGCCTACACATGACTCCAGACCCACAGAGATGGGGTTGACTCAACTGCCCTTTGCAATGGCCAAGTGAGCCACCAAATTTGGGAGAAACTAGGGTTGGGCAACAAATGTTGACCTTAGTGGTATTGTCCATTCATGACTTAAAAGGGCATGCAGCTTCAGAGCTAAAAGGGGCTTTACCTGGGGTGTGGAAACAGTTAGTGGGATTTTAGATGGCACACATTGTGTGAGTCTGAGAAAGAGGTCTTAAATAATCTCCAGGAATTACAAATCGATACACATTGCAGCAAGTGACATGTGAAAAAATGAAAACATTGGAGTGCTATTTCCCCCCATTTTGTTTTGATTATGAAGAATTAGAGACAGTTGTTTGGTGTTGTAGAATTTGAGTATTGGTGAAAAAGAACACATTTTAACAAAGCTTTTTGTCTTGCACAGATCAGGATAATTTGCAAGAGGACAGAGAAGCGTGCTGATTGGTTGGCTTGTAAACCCTGATTGGTAGCGATGTTGCCCTGGACAAATCATGACTGACGATTTACTATCAAGCTATGTTTAAATTTTAAAGCAGAAAGTTGATTCTGATTGGTTAAGGCATGCCCTGAGAAATGCACCCGCAAATGGCTGCCATCTAATTTGTTGTGTTAAAACAAACGCATTTGACTATCAGTCATCTTTAACTGGTACATTCTCCAAGGCAACATCTCTACCAATTGGGGTTTACTGGCCAACCAGTCAGCACTCTTCTCTCATTCAGCACAAATGTTGGTTTCCCCATACACACTGATATTCTTGCAAATTGTCCTGATGAGAAAACTTTGACAAAATGTGTCTTTTGCAGCAATATTCAATTATTTAAGGATTGAAGATGAGACGAGGGTATTTCCCCAGATGGGGTGAGTGGTCACTCCAGAGATATTTTTAACAAGATGGGCCAGGGTCTGAAGCAGGGACATTTCCACCCGGTAACATGGCACCATGTTTCTTCTGTTGTATCTGAAGCCTAGATATTTAGTAACTCCAGAGCAGTACCGTGTTCGTTGTTTACCACAGCCAGCACCCGAAACATCAGAGCAGCACACGTTGCAGCAAAGAATCCCCTCCAATAATTCCGTACGGCAAAGTGAGTGGCCGTTGTCTCCACGCTGAACAAGACTCCTGGGGCAGGGAGAGAAGAGGAAAAAAGGTGGGTCCATCACTGAAGCAATTGGAACAATTCTACAGCTAATAAAGGGACACAACACACCTCTCAAGAGAGGCATCTCTCTCTTACAGTGGCTGAGTATGAGGGTGATGTTTGATCCAATACTTGGAGCTTTTCAACCTGCCGAGGATATTTCACGGTTTTGGCTGACCAGGAAATTCTCCCTTCTCTCTTACCGCCTGCCAACGGACAATCAAACTGTTGTGAACTCCGAGGCAGCCAAATAACAAATCCTTGTTTTTCTTCCTACCAGCTGGCATGGCCCAGCAGACAGCTTTTTGACGCCTGAATGCTGCTGCAAAGCAAGGGTCAGTGAAAACACTCTGCAGCTTAAAACTCGCACAGCCTCCCTGTGGCCCCTCCACACTCTGCTCAATGGCTAAAGCTCAAATTCACACCTGGATGCCCCCCACCTTATCAGATCTCCCCTCCCGCCCAACAACATGTGAATTCTGGGGAATTAGAATGGGTCATGCTGGGAAAAGGTTTGGAGAACACTCCCCTTATCCCACACATGCTTATATAAACTCTTCTTCATCTGTACTCCTTGTGGTAACACTCTCTGGCAGGACACATTTCTCATGATTCCCAACTGGGGACTATCTTATACTAACGGCCTCTAGTTCTGCTCTTCCGACTCAAAAGGAAACTCTGTTTCTAGATCCGCTCTATCAAAATCTTTCATCACTTTCATGCTCAATATGAAGTCAGCCCTCAGCTTTATCATTCTAAGAGAAAAGAGACCCAGTCTGATCATCCTTTCCTGAGAAGATCTATGTTTGATTCCAGACTCTGCTGTCTGCAATGACCTGCGTAAATATCATGAGTCTTAAGCAGACACTGTGTTGGTGTGAGGAAGTAACCTTTATCCTACACACAGAAACATGGTGGAGCAGGACGTCACTAGAAGAGTCATGTTGGACTCAAAACCTGAACTTGGTTTCTCTCCCTCTCCATAGATGCTGTCAGAGTTTCTCCGGCATGTTCATTTTTGGACTTCACCAGAACTTTCGCCCAACTCGTCCATGCTGGCCAGGTATATGAAACTGAACGCAGTGGCCCTAGTTCTAGGATCATCTAGAGGACGAAACATCTCTTCCTCAGCCGCCCTATCAAGATGTTTGAACATAAGAACATAAGAAATAGGAGCAGGAGTAGGCCATCTGACCCCTCGAGCCTGCTCCGCCATTCAGTAAGATCATGGATAATCTTTTTCATGGATTCAGCTCCACTTAACCCGTCCGCTCACCATAGCCCTTAATTCCTTTACTGCTCAAAAATCTGCCTATCTCTGCCTCGAGGTAGCCTCAACTGCTTCACTAGGCAGAGGATTCCACAGATTCATAACCCTTTGGGTGAAGAAGTTTCTCCTCATCTCAGTCCTAAATCTGCCTCCCCCTTATTTTGAGGCTATGCTCCCTAGCTCTAGTTTCACTTGCCAGTGGAAACAACCTCCCTGCTTCTATCTTATCTATTCCAATTGGGTTGAACCAAGTCATCTCTTACTGTTCTAAATTCCAGCAGATATAGGCCTAGCCTGTACATCCTTTCTTCACAGGGCAATGGTTGGGAAGAATGGGAGGAATTAAGACACAAGGTCCTTACCTCCAACTGGTGCTACAAAGCAACAAGCGACACCCACCGCAGCGCCAGCGATCAGCATTTCATACTTGCGTCCTTTATTCTGCACAGAGGACAAGAAGAAAAGTCATGGGCCCCTTGCACGACTCAGAAGCAAGGAAAAGGCCGTTCAGCCCCTCAGTTGCTGATCTAAGACCTAATTCTTACTAGCTAATGTTTCTTAGTCTGGGGTTACCTCTTTGGTTCCTGCGAATTTGACCATGACCTTTCCCAGCAACGTGGCGAGGATGGTTGCCATGTGAACAAAGGGGCCCTGCAAACAACAAGAAGCCATTCAGTGTGAACACTGCCACTCCCTAACGATAAGGTCAGGCTTGGTACTGCATGTAAGACACTCCTCCTGGAATAAGAATGGTGTCCTTTAACAGGAGCAGGCTGTGGTGACGTGGCTACGACATAGTTCTACCTGACTGGAAAACTGTCCACTGTCTGCCAGCAGCTTATTGTTTGGATTTACAGACTGTTGCAGACAATTTTCTGAAGATTATGACACACATTCTGTGTCCATCCAGTCCCACAGCACAGCATCTGGTCCAGAGATAGGAACACAACACTACATGAGGAGACAGCGGCGTGGTGGTAATATCGCTAGAAATCCAGAGGTCTCGGCTAAAGTTCTGGGGGCACGGTGTCAAATCCCGCCATGGCAGCTGGTGGAATTTAAATTCAATTAACAAACCATCCAGAATTGAAAGTTACCTCTCAGCAATGGTGGAGCAATCATCGCAAAATTGATTTTAGGGGTGAAAATCTGCCATCCTTACCTGGCATCTCCTTACCTGAGATGGGCAACAAATGCTGGGCTTGCTAGTGATGTCCAATTGCATGAAACAATAAAGAGATTTTAAAAAAGCACAAGATGTCTAGCCTCAGTGCTGTGTGAAACGGTGGCTGTCTGGAGATGGGCGGTGAAGATACACCATTGACAGGTCTACCACTCTCCAAATGGCCCGTTACTGCTTTAACCTCCAGCAATGGGTTCCTTCTGTGCTGTATCATTCTATACACTCAAGTGCATTTGCAATAGAATAACAAATCATAGATCTTTACAGGAGTGATCATGAAACATAATTAGACACCGCGCCAGGTAACAAAGAATGGACGAACTCTGTCTGACTTGTCAAATCCTTGGCACCTTGACTAGTACAGACACACTCAAGGCTCTCTGTGCAGCACAAATGAAGCAGGATTATAACAGTATACTGGAAATTAACGATGATTAGATGGATCTTTATATCAACTGGAGAGGGGTAGTTTAAACTATAGATAATCTCAAGGAAGCTAATTTCAACTCAGCCTTTGGCTGTAATGGAGACTGACTTGAAGAAATCATGAAATAAACCAATAATGGATTTGACTGGGTCACCAGAAATTTGTCCAGTCAGGTGGCATTTTGTTTTAATGACCTATAAAAGCCACTACTGTTTAGGCGAATCTTGCCAACTCGTACTTAACCACAGCTTGAAACACTTGGTTGCCTTTACAAGTACCCACTGTTGTGATGCTGGGGCTTTAAGAAGTGTGTTTTGTCCTGGTTTCTTTTAGGGAGATATTGGGAGACAGGTACCGAGCTGCTATGAGAAGATAAACAACTTGTGAGGCCCTGTGGATTTTTTTTAAGTTGGAACAATAGAAGCACCCTGACTGGGTGCAGTCAAGCTTTCACGGATCTAGGATTCTTACTTAGCTTTCAGCAGTTGCTGTGGTGGGCTTGAAGAAGTGGAAGCTATTTTCCCTTGTCTCAATTATAGCCAAAAGCTCGGGGCTGTCTTCCTAAGCTACTGGATTGCATGTGAGACAAAATCTGTTTTCTGAATTTGCCCTTTTGCCAAGGTGTGCATTTATGGAATGTTACTATATTGAAATGGTTAATTAGTAATCGTTAGTGTATCTATTATTCTGTTAGGTTTACCAATACAGTTAAGTTATTCTAAGTTCTCCTTTCTTTTGTTGTGTTTTAACTACAGTGTTTGCTTAACGTCCAGTAGTTCGAAGAATCGAATTGCATCTGGAACACAGCACTTTATATTTGCCTTTAAAATAAGAAAAAGTTAGGGTCTAGGCTACCTTAAAATACTTTGAGGGGTCTGGTCTGGTCTGGTCCATAACACCACTGCTGGCAGGGGTTAGCTGGCCTGGTGGTAGTGGGTGTTGGGAAATTGTGAGCCCAAATTCTAAAAGATCTCTGCTGGAAATTTCAAAGGTAAATGGTAAGACGGTGCCCAGTGGAAATCTGAAACCAATATTGTTGGGCAGGAGAAACCCAGCCGGTACCATCAAACCCACTCCGTACCTCAGGGATGAGACTAAGAAAATTCCTTTATGCTCCCCCTCCACTAACTCCCTGGTAGCCCTGAAAAGCCGATGAAAACCCATCTCTTCTGGCAACTGAGAGTAATTAGAGTGATCACTTCAATTGAGCACTAATGAGAATGACTACTTTACCCTACAATGCATTCCCTCCCCCACTCAGAAATCCATCCACTTGTTCCTTGAAGACACAACGTTGGCGGAAGGAATATAATGTGGGGAAAATGTGAGCTTATACACTTTAGCAGCAAGAATGGGGAGCTGGATATCATTTCAATGAAGAAAGACTGCAGAGAGCTGCAGCACTGAGGGATTTGGGAGTCCTCATGAATGAATCACAAAAAGGTTGCAGGTAGTAGGGACGGCAAATGGAATGCTGGCTTTCATTTCAAAGGGAAAAGAGTGTACAATAGGTTAGTCTTGCTAAACCTTTACAAGGCACTGCTACAACTACACCTAGAATACTGTGAATAGTTTTGGGTCCCTTATCTAAGGAAAGATAGACTGGCGTTGGAGGCAGTCCAGAGAAGGAACAAAAACAGAAGTTGCTGGAAAAACTCAGCAGGTCTGGCAGCACCTGTGAAGAAAAAGAGTTAACATTTCAGGTCCGGTGACCCTTCCTCAGAACTTAGTCCAGAGAAGGCTCACTAGGTCAATGTGTGCATGGATGGATTGTCTTATGAGGATAGGTTGAGTAGGTTGGGCCTGAAGAATGAGAGGTGACCTTATTGAAACATACAAGATTCTGCTAGGACTTGATAGGGTAGATGAGGAGAGGTTGTTTCCCCTTGTGGGAGAGCATAAGACAAGAGGGCATAATCTCAGAGTAAGAGGTCACCCATTTAGAGCAGAGATGAAGAGGGTTTGTTCCTGTCAGAGGGCAGTGAATCTACCATAAAGGGCTGTAGAGGCTGTAGTGGGAGTATAATCAAGACTGAGATAGACACATTTTTAATCAGGAAGGGAATCAGAATTTGGAGAGAAGGCAGGAAAAGGCACAGGAGTCAAAGATTATCAGATGAGCCATGATCTCACTGACAGTGGAGAAGACTTGACAGGCTGAATGGCCCACTTCTGTTCCTATGTCTTATGGTCTTATGACAGTGAGTCAATACCAACCAAATAGCTGTCAACACATTCTCAAGGCTCACTATTCTCTGGAAAAAGAGAAAATGCCTAACACTCAGCCTATGTGGTCCAATTAAGTTTCCAGTCCATAATAATGAGTGTGTGATGAGGAAGGAACATTAACCAACATTGGTTGAACCCAGTAAGATAGAGGTATGACCACAACATCATAAACCGCCCCTTCCAACAATGCAAGGACAACTCATACCAGCCATCAGTGTTAATTCAATACCAAGCCAATTAATAAAACATGAAATAAGAGACACATGCTTTTCTTGATAATAGTTTCATTCATGAAAACGTAACAGTTTCCTATCTACTATCCTCCCATTTTCCGGCCATCACCCTCTGTAGGTTTTCTAGGTACTCAATTAAGCAATGCCCTTTACCACTGTATCTTAGCAATGAAACTAACATGCCGTTGATATGCAGTGCCCACTTACCACTTTGCCTAAGAAAATGGTACTTCCAGCTGCCAGGGTGCAGATGACGCCGATGAGCTTGGCTATAAAGGTCCTGAAGGTAAAGAACTCATCCAGCACCACGCCTCGCAAGGTAACCTTCAGCTCTGGAATGCCAGACCCTGGCACAAGAACGAGAAGCAAAAACAAATACCAGCAGCACAGAGAAAATAAAACTGCATTGACACTATGTACAAAACAGTCAGTTACCTTGATACGTATCTGAAGGAGGTGAGCAAAATTTATTCTGACATGTACTTAAATTTTAACCTGTGGATTGATTTGGTGTCAAGCTTTCTCTTTGGCTGAAATAATAAACTACAGATCATATTAAGAGCTGTATGTCAAAGGTTTGGTGTCATGGCTTATTGGGTCAAATGTCTTCCAGTTTGAGACTAAACTAGATAAAGCTATCAGGAAAGATTGAAAGGGCAAGTCTTCAGTCTTTCAGTGCTGGAGAAGGAGCATGTCTCAGAGATGCTGAGAGAGAGTTTGATGAAGAGGGATGGGTGGAAGCTGATGTTGTATATAAATGCCAGCAATTTTAATTGTACTTGCATGGTATGTGGATGTTGCTGGAAAGACCAACGTTAGTTGCCCATTCGTAATTGTCCTTGAGAAGGTGGTGACGTGCTGTTTTCCCAAACCACTGCAGTCCTTGGGTCACCCCCACGGGTGAAGGGAGTTCCAGGATTTTGACCTAGCAACACTGAAGGGACGGCGATATATTTCGAAGTCAAGATGGCAAGTGGTTTGGAAGGGAACCTGCAGATGGTGATGTTCCCATGCATCTGCGGCCTTGTCCTTCTAGATGGAAGAGCTCACAGGTTTGGAAAATGCAGTCGAAGGACTCTAGGTGAATTTCTGCACTGCATATTGTAGATGGCACATACTGCTGCTGCTCAAATTTGGTAGTGGAGGGCGTGAATGCTGAAGATGCTGGATGGGGTGCCAATCACTGCTTTGTCACAGACAATGTCAAGTGTCCTCAGTGTTTTTCGAGAAGTACCCATCCAAGTGGGAAGTATTCCATCACAGTCCTGACTCATGTCTTGTACATGAATACAGGCTTTGGGGAGTCAGGAGGTGAGTTACCCCTGACAATATTTTCAGTCTCTGACCTGGTCTTGTAGGCACAATATGTACATGGGCCACTTCAGTTTCTGTTCAATGATAAACTCCAGGATGTTGATAGTGAGATACTCAGCAACAGTAATGCTGTTGAATGTCAAAGGAAATGGTTAGACTCTTTCTTGTTGGAGATGGTCATTTCCTGGTATTTGTGCAGCATTTTGTTTTCTACTCATTTGTAGGATGTGGGCATCGCTGGCTGGCCAGCATCTCTTGCCCATCCCTAGTTGCCCTTGAGAAGGTGGGGGTGAGCTGCCTTCTTGAACCGCTGCAGTCCACCTGCTGACCCACAATGCTGTTAGGGAGGGAATTCCAGGATTTTGACCCAGTGACAGTGAAGGAACGGCGATACATTTCCAAGTCAGGATGGTGAGTGGCTTGGAGGGGAACTTGGAGGTGGTGGTGTTCCCATATGTCTGCTGCCCTTGTCCTTCTAGATGGAAGTGGTCATGGGTTTGGAAGGTGCTGACTGAGGATCTTTGGTGAATTTCTGCAGTGCATCTTGTAGATAGTACACACTGCTGCTACTGAGCATCGGTGGCGGAGGGAGTAGATGCTTGTGGATGTGGTGCCAATCAAGCGGGCTGCTTTGTCCTGGATGGTGTCAAGCTTCTTGAGTGTTGTTGGGGCTGCACTCATCCAGGCAAGTGGGGAGTGTTCTATCACACTCTTGACTTGTGCCTTGTAGATAGTGGACAGGGTTGAGGAGTCAGGAGGTGAGTTACTTGCCCCAGTATCCATAGCTTCTGACCTGCTGTTGTAGCCACTGTGTTAATGTGGTGAGTCCAGTTCAGTTTATGGTCAATGAAAACTCCCCAGGATGTTGATAGTGGGGGGATTCAGTGATGGTAACACCATTGAATGTCAAAGGGCAATGGTTAGATTGTCTCTTGTTGGTGATGGTCATAGCCTGGCATTTGTGTGGCGTGAATGTCACTTGCCACTTGTCAGCCCAAGCCTGGATATTGTCCAGATCTTGTTGCATTTGAACATGGACTGTTTCAGTATCTGAGGAGCCGCGAATGGTGCTGAACATTGTGCAATCATCGGCGAACATTCCCAATTTTGAACTTATGATGGATGGAAGGTCATTGATGAAGCAGCTGAAGATGGTTAGGCCTAGGACACTACCCTGCGGAACTCCTGCAGAGATGTCCTGGAGCTGATATGATTGACCTCCCACAACCACAACCATCTTCCTATGTGTCAGGTATGACTCCAACCACCGGAGCGTTTGCCCCTTGATACCCACTGATTCCAGTTTTTCTAGGGCTCCTTGATGCCACACTCTGTCAAATGCAGCCTTGATATCAAGGGCTGTCACTCTCACCTCACCTCTGGAATTCAGCTCCTTTGTCCACGTTTGAACCAAGGCTGTAATGGGGTCAGGAGCTGAGTGGCCCTGGAGGAACCCAAACTGGGCGTCACTGAGCGGGTTATTGCTGAGCAGGTGCTGCTTGATAGCACTGTTACTGACACCTTCCATCACTTTACTGATGATCGAGAGCAGACTGATGGGGCGGTAATTGGCCGGGTTGGATTTGTCCTGCTTTTTGTATACAGGACATACTTGGGCAATTTTTCACATTGTCAGGTATGTACCAGTGTTGTAACAGTACTGGAACAGCTTGGATAAGGGAGCAGAAAGTTCTGGAGCACAAGTCTTCAGTACTATTGCCGGAATGTTGTCAGGCCCGTAGCCTTTGCAGTATCCAGTGTCTCCAACCGTTTCTTGATATCACGTGGAGTGAATCGAATTGGCTGAAGACTGGTATCTGTAATGCTGGGGGCCACTGGAGGAGGCTGAGATGGACCATCCACTCGGCACCTCTGGCTGAAGATCGCAGCGAATGCTTCAGCCTTATCTTTTGCACTGATGTGCTGGGCTCTTCCACCATTGAGGATGGGGATATTTGTGGAGTCTCCTCCTCCAGTGAGTTGTTTAATTGTCCACCACCGTTCACGACTGGATGTGGCAAGACTGCAGAGATTAGATCTGATACGTTGGTTGTGGGATCGCTTAGCTCTGTCTATCACTTGCTGCTTTCGCTGTTTGGTGTGCAAGTAGTCCTGTTTGGTGGCTTCACCAGGTTGATACCCCATCTTCAGGTATGCCTGGTGCTGCTCCTGGCATGCCCTCCTGCACTCTTCGTTGAACCAGGGTTGATCCCCTGGCTTGATGGTAATGGTGAGTGGGGGATATGCTGTGCCATGAGGTTACAGATTGTGCTGGAGTACAATTCTGCTGTTGTTGATGGCCCACAATGCCTCATGGATGCCCAGTTTTGAGTTGCTAGATCTGTGTGAAATCTGTCCCATTTAGCACGGTGACAGTGCCACACAACATGATGGAGGTTGTTCTCAATGTGAAGGTGGGATTGTGCAATGGTCACTCTTACCGATACCATCACTGACAGATGCAACTGCAGCTGGCAGATTAGTAAGGATGAGGTCAAGCATGTTTTACCCTCTTGTTGGTTCTCTCACCACCTGCTGCAGATCCAGTCTAGCAGCTATGTCCTTTCAGACCCGACCAGCTCGATCAGTAGTACTGCTGCAGAACCACTCTTGGTGGTGGACATTGAAATCCTCCACCCAGAGTACATTTTGTGCCCTTGCCATCCTCAGTGCTTCCTCTAAGTGTTGTTCAACATGGAGGAGTACTGATTCATTCGCTGAGGGAGGACGGTATGTGGTAACCAGCAGGAGGTTTCCTTGCCCATGTTTAACTTGAAGCCGTGAGACTTCATGGGGTCCGGAGTCAATGTTGAGGACTCCTACAGCAACACCCTCCCGACTGTATCCCACTGTGCCGCCCCTTCTGCTGGGTCTGTCCTGCTGGTAAGATGATTATGATCGCCCTGGTCCTGGTGAACCTAAATGTTTAGTTTGGGTGTCCACTTAGGGACTTGACTTTTTTTTTGAGAAGGCCTACTCTAGTGTTTTGGTACAAATGATAATGGTGACAGTGACAACTATCATTGGCTGATTGACTGTTGTTAAAAACCTATCCGGTTCACTAATGTCCTTTAGAGAAGGAAATCGGTCGTCCTTACCCACCCCTGTTGCAGGAAAGAATAAACTAAAATCCTGCTTGGATGGTTCTAAAAGATCCCACCAACGCTCTGGCCTATATTTGTCCATCACTCAATACTGCAAAAGCATTATCACATTGCTGTATGCCAATTGGCTGCTATTTTCCTACACTGCAGCTGTGACTGCTTCAAAAAGTGTATAATTAGCTGTAAAACCCTTTGACGTGTCTTGTGGTCTTGAGAGGCACTACAAAAATTTGAGACCTTTATTTGTTCGCAAATGGTGACACGGCTTCTTATACATTCACCTGTAATGACACTGACTGGTCCTTTGTTTAATGTCTCATCTAGAAGACAGCACCTCATCAGGCACAGGGAGTGACAGTCAGATTTGCTGACCCTTTGACTCGGGGGTGACCGTTCAAGTGGCTGCAGAACTTGAGCAGTCCCGCTCGGCAAAGTCCACTTTCGCACTGACCCCGCTCATGGACCCTCAGCCCCTCCCCCCAGGGGCATGGATGTTGGCAGAGAGCACATACCTGCGGCCTGTGGTGAGATGTACTTGGCCACGCCAGCAGACACCATGGTGAGAATGACATGATAAAGCACCCAGGAGAAGTACTGCAGGTACCGATAATTTTCCAGTGTGTCATAGACCCACAGGTTGGCTAATACAGAGAAAAGAAGAAGGAGGAAGTGAAAATTGGTGGCTAATTTTACATGAAGTTGTCCCCGTTAATGATGATAATCAATTGCTCACCAGGGTTCGATTAACTCTGTGGGCTAGTTTATTTCAAACTGTAAAGCAGTGATGAAGTAGACATTACAACACCAATTGATTAGTGTGTGCAGCTTGCGGACTAACTGGCAGGTAGAGTCACAACATTGTATATACACTGCACATGGAGTCCTTACAGGTAAACTCTCTCAATCAGACCATAACAAAAGTGAAGACTGCCTATGGATAGAGACTACCCCAGCCATCCACTTTTCATAGATTATACCAAGCTTTTATTGCTCCTCCTCCACCAGCTATCAACCTTGCCATATGATATTTCCTGTTCCATAGCCATTGAGATTTTACTGAAGAGAAAGGGGCTGTTTGATCCATTGTCCCCACATTGGTCATCAAACATTCATCTGTTCTAATTCCCTTTCCTAGCATTGCCCCATGGCCAAGTTTGTTATGGTGCTACAAGTTTTCATCTGCAAAGTTCTGAAATGTCTTGGGGTTTCCTGCCTCTACCACACTTCAGGCAGTGAGTTCCAGATAATCATCATCCATTTCTTCAAATCCCCTCTAAACCTCCTGCTCCTCACCTTTAAGGACTTTACCCCACCCCTAATCCTAGGACATTACCCAATCCTAATCCTATCAGCCATGATTGAATGTCAGCAGACTCAATGGGCCAAACGACCTAATTCTGCTCCTATATCTTATGATCTTAAAACTGTGCCCCCGGTCATCGATCTCTATACTAAGGGGAAATGTTTCTCCCTATCTACCCTTTCTATGCCTCTCAGACATTTGTACACCTCTATTAGGTTCCCCTCAGCCTTCTCTGCTCTAAGGAAAACAACAGAGATAGTAGGAACTGCTGATGCTGGAGTCTGAGATAACAAGGTGTAGAGCTGGATGAATACAGCAGGCCAGGCAGCATCAGAGGAGCAGGAAAGCTGACGTTTTGGGTCTGGACCCTTTCTGAATGTTATATAGAGCTCCATCATAACCTCATTGCTCTTGTATTCAATGCCTTGAATAATAAAGACAAGTATCCCATACGCTGACTTAACCACCCCATCTATCAATTCAATACAGGTTGCCTCGCTAGCCTAGTGTTTTCTGGGGAAGGGCAGTGGATTTGTAACAGGGCATCCCAAAATGCCTTACAGCCAGTGATGTCACTGTTATAATGTGGAAATGATGACAACCAAATTATGCACAGCAGGATCCCACAAACAGAGTGCTAAATATTGGCCTTTGTTCCTCCTCTTCAACATCCCACAGTGATTAACAATTAGCAATATTAAAATCTGGCTTGTCTCAGTAATGATGACCATCGTTGATTTTCAGAAAACCCATCTTGTTCAGTAAAGTCCTTTAGGGAGGAGTGTCTCCTATCCTTACATGTGACTCCACATTTACAGCAATGTAGTTGATTAATTGAAATGGCCTAGCATGTTACCCAGTTCAAAGGCTATTAGGTTGAGTAATAAATGATGGCCCTGCCAGCGATGCCTACATTAAGTGAATTTAAACTTTGCCAGCCCTGTGGTGGGATTGAACCCAGAGAATTAGCATGGGCTTCTAGCCTGCAGATCAAACCTCATAACAGAGATAATCAAACTATACACTAGACAGTAGCTTTGTCCTTTCTCTCTGTCAATCTTTCCAACTAATTGTGAAAAAACACCTTCCTGGTTGTTGATTTCAGAGGTGGATTTCATAGTCTTCGCTATCTATCTGCTCTCTGACCCTGGCAAAAGCTAAGCTGTTTACCCAATCTTTACAATGGTTAATTGGTCACTCTGGCCTTGTTTATCACACCAACTACTGAAGTTATATATTAATCAGGCATGGTAGATTTTGCTCCAATCAGTCTCTCCTTGAAGGGAAATTAGAAAAAGACTTGCATTTATATCGACTTTTGACAGTTCATAGAACCTTAAGAAACTGTAGAAAGATTATGGCCATTCAGTCTATCGAGTTGAGTGATCAAAAGAAATGAAACTGATCCCATCTTCTGTCAACTGCTCCATAGCCTTGCAGAACTCAGTGCTTCAGGTCAGGCCCAGGGTTCTTTTAAATAAGTTATGGGTTTCTGCAGCAAATCCCAGACAACCACCAGCCTCTGGGTTAAAAGGTTTTTCATCGTGCCTCTCTAATCCTTCGACAGAACTAATCATTTTAAATCTGTGCCCGCTGATAATTGACCACTTTGCTAATGGAAGCGGGTCTTCCCAGTCCTCATTATTTTGTACACTCCAATTAGGATACTCCTCAGCCTCCTCTGTTCTAACCTGAATCTATCCAATCGTGCCTCAAATCCTGCAATTGACTTTCAAGACCTGGGAATATGCTTGTAAATCTCCCCTGTACTCTTTTTAGGGGGCCCTCTTGTGGTGCAGTTGTAGCATCCCTGTCCTGGACCAGGGAGGCCTAGGTTCAAGTCCCCCCTGTGCTGGAGATATGTCATACCTACATGAGTAGGTTGATTAGAAAAATCAATAAAGAGATGACTGGAGATAATGTATGCATTGATGAGCACCTTTTGAAGTTTTCAGAACAGCTCAGTGGTTAGCACCACTGCCTCACAGGTTTTGATTCCAGCCTCAGCAACTGTCTGTGTGGGTTTCCTCCGACAGTCCAAAGATGTGCAGTTAGGGTGGATTGGCCATGCTAGATTATCTCATAGTGCCCAGGGATGTGCAGGATAGGTGGGTTAGCCATGGGAAATGGGATAGGGTTGGGGGGTGGTGAGTCTGGATGAGATGCTCTTCGGAGGGTCAGTGTGGACTCAATGGGCCAAATGGCCTGCTTCCACACTGTAGGGATTCTATGATTTCTAATTATGTCTTTGTATCTCTTGATAAAGGAATGAATGCCATATGTTTTATGAACTGCTTTCTCGACCTGTCTTGCCACCTTGAGTAACCTAGCCGCAGGGTCATCTTGCTACCTAGAGGTGTCCCCAATGGGAAGCTCTGTAATTGGGAGATCTCCCCTTCACCATCAGTGAACTGGTGTGGAGAGTATAGCCTGGGGCAGCCCTGTGCTGAAGAAGGTTGGGGATATTTCACAGACTCCAAGGCCACCTGTAATTCCTGTAGCCTTGAAGAGTTGGTGTACATACACAGTGCATTAGGCTAAAGCCCCTTACTCATTATTTGGAGGGGCGTGCTTAACAAATTTTATTCATGCATCAGCTGTATGCTTCTCATCTTTGACCACCCTGTGAAGGGCCTGGAAAGTCAAAAGGCCTTCTCAAGGTTCTGTTTCTGGGTGTGGACCAAGTTATAAGTCCAGGGAAAAGCTCATGAACAAGATTGCTGGAATACAGTGCCTACGTCTCTCTTCCATGCTATGTCTATACGCGGATGACCCTGAACAGGGAGCATGTGGTGGCACACTCAAGGCCTTCTGCCATCAGTGAGCACCACAGGGGCTCGAGTGCACCATTGATGCATTAACTTAAAGTTGTAAGTTTTCTGAGATGATTTAATATTTTTGTCACTGTTCCCCTTTAAGAACTAATTTTTTAAGTTAATATGTTAATTTGTTTTATTGGTTTGCAACAGGATATACCCTGAGGCCTCTCAGATTGTACAACTCGTTTAGAATTATACCTTCCATTTTATATTGCCTTTCCCTTTCTTCAGACCAAGATGTTTGACTATTCACTTTGCTGCATTAAATTTAATTGGATATACTTGATCCATCCAACATGCCAAGGAGAAATGGTAGCGTGATGACAACATCAGTGAATGAGTAATTCAGAAGCCCAGGCTGATGTCGTGGAGACATGAGTTTAAATCCCACCATAGCAACTGGTGGAGTTTTAATCCAGTTAATACATCTAAAATTCAAAGCAAGTCTCAATGATGGTGATAATCAATTGTTGTAAAAACCCATCTGGTTTGCTAATGCCCTCAGGGAGGGAAAGCTGCCATCCTTACCCAGTCTGGCCTACACGTGACTCCAGCCTCATAGCAATGTGGTTGACTCTTAATTGCCCTCTGGAATGATTGTAGCATACCACTCAGTTCAAGGGCAATTAGAGATGGGGAACAAATCTGGGACTTGCCAGCCTCACCCACACCCTGTGAAAGATTGAAGACTAAAAAAAAAATGTTCTTGTGCCTCATCAACACATTTGAAAGGCTGTTTGCTCCTATGATGCTGCTTGGCCTGCTGTGTTCATCCAGCTCTGCACCTTGTTGTCCTGGGTTCTTCACCAGATGGGAGCTTGCAAGTTGTCTAGCATTTGGATCATGGATGTGGAGATTCCCAGTTAACTTGCCTGACCTGTGAAGGCCACTGATCTGAGTCAGTGGTTCCTGGTAACCCACTACTGTGCTTTCACAAGATCTTCCAAATCTGCCAGAAAGGCAGTTCAACAGTAATGTCATTTCCCAAACCAACTTTTTTTTTATTCATTCATGAGATATAGGCATCACTGGCTAGGCAACACTTATTGCCCATCCCTAATTGCCCAGAGGGGAGTTAAGAGTCAACCACATTGCTGTGGGTCTGGAGTCACATGTAGGCCAGACCAGGCAAAGATGGCAGTTTTCTTCCCTAAAGGACATTAGTGAATCTGATGGGTTTTTCCAACAATCAAGAACAGTTTATGTGGTCATCATTACACTCTTAATTCCAGATATTTTAAAATAAAAAATTGAATTCAAATTCCACCTTCCCAAAGAGGTCAAACAAACATTCCTGCAGCAGATTCATGGGAGACTCTGGTCAGAGACCCACCGAGATGGAGAAGGTTCATTCGGGAAAGAGAGACCTCATCGGGAATGTACAGAAGTGAAGCCTGGACCTCAGAAGGAGCACGCATCCTACCCCAAAATACTCTGTCCACCTGAACCGTCAAGCACGCTGTGTGGGTAGCAGAGTCCGTACATTGCCCACTGGGTTTATCAGCCATCTCAAAACCCA